CGGTCAGTGTGCGGTGGGTGATCCACTTGGATCAGTCTGCGTAGGGACCGAGGGTGTGCGGTATTGGTCCTCGTTAAATTAGGCTACCGTAAAGTGCTCGACTTCGAGCGCAGGTCGTCGGGCTACCGAAGCGGGGGTGCCATCCCCTCCGCAGAGGATCAAAATTGTGATGGCATGTCTTCGGATCATCTTCCGGGATGTCTCCCAGACCGTCCCCAATAGCCCATTGTGCAGCTCTAGTGCGACGTAAATTACCAACAATAACAAAATGAAGATAAAACAAAGGAAAATTACAGACATATGAAAAAAGGTGGGAAAATTTTTCAAAAAATTCGGAAAATAAAAGCTATAATCTTTTCATCAGCCCACACGATTATATCCGCAAAAAAAGAGTGCTTTCTGATATTGTATCAATATAGCCAAAGCAAAATATATTAATTATAATAGTGTGAGGAGCACTCAAAACAATTTTTTACAAAAATTACAACAAATAAAATAGAACACAATAAGTAAAAATAACACGTAAAAACAGAAAATAAAATAATATAAAAATAAAAAACAGAATAAAGCGAAATCTATAGTAGTAGTAGTAGTTCATTTGCGTCGCACTAGAGCTGCACAATAGGCTATTGGCGACACTGTGGGAAACATCCCTGTGGATGATCCGAAGACATGCCATCACAATTTTGATCCTCTGCAGAGGAGATGGCACCCCCGCTTCGGTAGCCCGACGACCTGCACGCGAAGTCGAGCACCTTACGGTAGAGCAGTTTGACGAGGACCAATACCGCACACTCTCGGTCCCTACGCAGACTGATCCAAGTGGTCACCCACCCGCTCACTGACCGCAGAAAGTGATGCTTGACTTCGGTGATCTGCTGGGAACCGCGTCTTAACGATCAGTCCAATGCGGAACTCGAAATCTATAAAGCGAGTATCGAATTCAAATGTACTTACATGAACGGGAAATTTTTCAAGAATGATTTAAAAAATATTTTCGTAACAAGATTACCAGATTGAAAAATATGAAAACAAAAGCGCATATTGAGCGTAACTAGAGAAGATTTGTTTCAAAGTGCCGTTCTTACTGCATTGCTGAAGTGCATTTGATTTGCTAGTTATTAAGGATGGGCCTGAAATGTATGTGCTGAAATGGATGTATATTATACTGGATAATTTAAAGAAGTTGACCATAAATAATTTTGGAAAATAAATATTTGTTTAAGAAAAAAATATAAAATAGAAATATGAATTGCCTGTTTTGCACATAATTTTAGCCACGGATTTGCCCGAAATGGATCTGCACATGGAAAAATTATATAAATTAACAAAGAAAAAAATTTTTAGCAGATAATTTTAACACGGATTCGCCGGAAATGGATTTACACATGGAAAAATTTTATAAACTGATAAAGAAATTTTTAGTAAATAATTTTACCCTCCGATTTGCCCGAAATGGATTTGCACATGGAAAAATTGCACAAATGAACAAAAAAATTATTTAATAAATAATTTTTGGCAACGGATTTACCCGAAATATATACATATATATATACATGTATATATACATATAT